TAATATTATGGAAAACTGGAGAAGGCATAGCTATTAGCTACGTAGGTACCTAGGTTAATAAAAACACTGTATAATTTAATATTTCTTCTTTATAAAATTCAGATCTTGTTAGTTATATATAATTACATAGATTCGTACAATAGGTGTATATAAATATAATATTAAAATTACCAATAAGTATTATTATAACTATCAGTGGCGTAGCCAGGGGGGAGGCTGAGGGGGCTGCAGCCCCTCCCCCCCCCGAAATTTTAATAAAATTTAAAAATTATTTTAATGGTCTATAGTATTCGATCAAAAACTAAAAGACCGCTGGGTAAAAAATTGATCATAAATCATAGATCATTAATTATACAACAAATTTGCTATAGGTACCATAAATAGGGCTTTTTAAGTTAAAGATTGAAGCATTTTCACTGTCCTATACCTTATATAGGTGATGACAAACTCAAAAAAAAACACATTATACTATATATGATTTTGGATGCAGGTTTACGTTCAAGATTCTGAGCGAAGCATCTCAAATGTAAACCTAAACAATTTTCATATTTGCAAATTGTTAATAATGTTTACAATTTCTGGTAGGATGTTGTCGGACTAGATGTTTTATAGTTTTTTTTTCTCCGTTGACCTTTCCCCCACCCCTATCCGGAGTCGTGGCGGAAAATTTGGTGCCCTGTTATGAAATTTTTGTATATCCACCAGTCCATATTTTTGTTTTGCACTTAAGTTTACGGTCAGGTTGTTGACCGGCTCACCTGTGGTGTTAGCACCACAAATCGATGCCTTGGAAGAATAACCGTCAGAAAGATAAGGATAACATGGAGCAATTTACTTCAGTAGATCAATAAACCAGCTTCGAGCTTTGTGCATATATAGGGGAAGAAGAGAGTTTTGTCATGTTTTTTTATTGGTCGATGACGTATTTTTTCCTCATTCAAACATTCCACACGCATAATTACGCGTCAAGACTATACCTAATATATATATATTTTTAATATTTTTTTATTGCCAAACATAATAAATATAATATTATGGTAAAAGCATACAGCATTACATATAGATACAAATGTATACAATTGTACCTAATTGAAAACTAGCACACCACCCTAACTTTTTCGTTGTAAACTATAATTTGAGTAATTTGACGTTTCAAAAACCGAAAATAGTGTGTCATGTTGAATAAGACACGCAACAAAATCAGTCCATATAATTTTACAATTACGTTATATTTTCTGTAATCTCTGTTATTTGGTTTCTACTTGTACCCTGCGATACAGTATAATATTATGTATCTTATATCGACACGAATGACGTTATACTAATAAACAAAATTTTCCCGTTTACCAATTTGTATTATATAATAAAATATTGTGATGACGATGACGTATTACTCGTTATATTAACTGAAATGTTTAAATAAAAAAAAGCAATATATTTATATACGTATATTAATGAGTTAACGCATCCCATTGCGATTGTCATTATATTGTATATTAATAGGTATTATATTGGCGGTATTACAGTGCGTCGAAGTGCCTTAAATTCTGACGTATTAATACAGTGTTATACCTACTGTTATATTATTTTTTATTTTGCATGGATACGCAAAGGATTAAATGAGCTATGCAGTGGAAAGCCACGCAATCCTTGATTATACATAAACGTGGGTCTGGACAGGCCGAGGAATGAGAATTCGGTGACTAGTTGCACGTGCTTGGCTGCCAGGCTGTAGAAAGGGCGTGTTTCCCAGGGTCATAATTGTTTTTCTTTTCACAGTGGTAACCTATAAAAATAGAGGGAATCGCAGTTCCGCGTAAAATATGACGGAACGCAGTTGTTGTACAAACGTAAACAAATATGTAATAGGTATGCGATCAATGTAAACAAATTAATATGATTTTTAATTTTTTGTTAACGTTCTACACGTGATGTACCGTATTTAATTGGGGCCCATTAATAGGTACCCATAGGTGTTTTGCGTTTTATTAGATAATTCATTCGATTTCAGTAAATTAATATTTCTATTAGGTACTATTATTTATTGGGTACCTGCCTATCTGGTAGACTCGGAATGCTGATTATAGTGATTATTGATTACTGATCAGGTACATTCACGATTCTTCATAATCAAGGGTTCATACTTTGTTAAATATAATTAAGTTTCGGTACAACTGTACAAGTCACGGATTATTTAAAATACATAGGTATTGGCATTGATTAAATACAAGTATTGTATTTAATCAATGGCATTGGGCTATTATTATTTAATTATTAAATTGTTGCTATTATTAAAATATTTCCGTCAGTAGGTACCTACACCATTTTCGGAAAAAACACTGACAGAATGAATATAGATTTATGGTCATATACTCATAAATATTACGGTACAGTCGTACAGTCTTAGTTTCACTTTAAAATGCCACCCTTGGCCAATGTCACTCTGTCTACAAAAATACACTACACTTCTACAGGACTAATGATACTATCCTGCATTACAATCAACTAAATTCGATAATTTTTGTTTAACTAATTGAACCTAATATTTTGCAAGCCGCATTAAATTAATTATGAACACAATTAATAAAAGTATGTGGGTCAATAAAAAATTCAAGATAAGATATAATTTTACGTAACATCAGGGTAAATTTCTTTACTTAAATATGCGCCGCCGAAGTGCCTTCGCTGGTTGGTTCTTCCCTAAAGATTTTCAAGCCATTAATTATAATTTTAAAAAAAACCATAATTTATGCTTATTGTACTTTTTTTTATGTACAGATTGCATGATTTCTAGATTAAAAATAAAAAATAAATAAAAAATGTGCGCCAACTAAATACATTATGTGGCGTTGAACAGAGCTTCAGGCAATACTAAGCCACACTACGATCCAATCGCTGATTATTCATTACCAACAATTTTAAAAAATATGGTCGTAGCATGTAACATACGTAGTGAATGTCAATTATACATTTTATTTCTAAATTATAATATTTTATTTTATTTCTCAATTATATTATATTATATTGAATGCACATTGACTCGCGATTAAACTGGAAACATCACGTTCGACAGAAAAAGTTGCAAATTAAAGATAAATTGAGGAAACTTTACTGGCTAATCGGAAGACACTCTGAACTAGACCTTACAAGCAAACGTCTTTTGTACGTAGCGATAATTAAACCAATATGGACCTATGGAATACAACTTTGGGGTTGTGCCAGTAAGTCCAATATTGAGATTATTCAACGCTGTCAAAACATTGCTCTCCGTACTATTGTCGCAGCGTACCGGTACGACAGAAATGACACTATCCACCGAGACTTGATGATGCCCTCAGTCCAGGACGAGATTACAAAGTTTGCCCGAAAACACGAGATAAGGCTAGATCAACACACCAATCCAGCAGCAATTCAACTACTTGACAACTCTCAAGACATAAGGCGTCTCAAACGCCGAAGACCATATGACTTAGTATAAAATGTTAGACTAAGACCGGGCCTCTCCATAGGGAGTGATAACCCAAACATGTTTTTGTTTATATATATCTACAAAATATTATTCATTAGTATCTTATATTTATGTATACCTCTGAAATGTATTGTTAAAGATCATTGATCGTTATAATAAAAAAGCCATCAGGCAGTTTTCAAAAAAAAAAAAAATTATATTATATTAAGACAAACAGCCAATCACAGATGTTTTTCAATAAATAAATATTTTTTTTGTAACTATATTTTTGTGTTTTTCTTATAAAAATTTAAATCCATATTTTTGTAAATAAAATGGGTATTTTACAAATTTTTATTGCATACAAATCCTAGCCCTGGTCATAACTGATAGCAAGTGTCAAGTATTTGAAATATTTCAAATGCTCAATTTTTACTTAAGGTGTTTTTTCAACTTTTTATCAACATATTATTTAGATTTTAAAATTTAATTTTGGTATACGGGGCTGACCACATTAAAAGCAAACGAATTCTCTTAAACGCTAGACATAAATCCCTCTCCTACTTAATCGGCAAACACTCAAAACTCAACATAAAAACTTAACTACTTTTATATAAAACTCTATTGATGCCTATTTGGACATATGGCATCCAGTTATGGGGAGCTGCCAAAAAATCCAATATAAACAAAATTCAAACCTTTCAGTCCATAACTCTTCGCATAATTACAAATGCTCCATTCTATATTTCAAACCACACTCTACATACCGACCTGAGAGTTAACACAGTAGATGAAACTGCAAAGCTACTATATAAACGATTTCGTTTACGACTAACCAACCACCCTAAATCCTAATCCTTTAATATCAGCACTAAACTCTGACACCATTCCTGGCAATTCTCCTGGTAGATTAAAGAGAAGATGGTGTCGTGATCTAAACCAAAATTAATTAATAACTATAAATTAAACTAACTTCTGTTATAAAGTGTTGCTATTGGGTGGCTTCTTTTTTTCAAGTGTCGCATGTCAAATAAATGTATATCCCCATACATGCTTATTGTAAATTTAAATTACAGATTGTAGGTTTTTAAAATAAAGTTAAAAAAAAAAAAAATTTTGGTATCAAAATCTTTGTTGGCACATGTACAGATTTTGTTTTTCACACATTTTATCAAAATTAAATATTAACATAAACACTTTTATAAATATATTAGGAAGGCACCTACACAAAATATAGATATATATAATATATATGTTATATGATAAACTACCCATAACAATTTTCAGTACCTTTTAAAAGATCAGGAAAAGTTACAAAATTTATCAAAATCACAAAAACTCCAAATTATTATGTAGTTAAAAAATCGTAAGATTTCAAATTTAAACACACAAGACCCGAAAATTGTTTTCAATATTTCTCAAGTTTATTTAATGCCTTTTTAAAAAATAGTTCTATATGGTATGTAGGTACAGTCAGAACATTTTTTTTTTGGCTGATTAATGTTCAAATGTAGACATAGGATATCCAAAAAATTAATAATTATTTTAGACATTTTAGTGTAATTAAAAAATTTTATTCTTGGGATCTTTATTCTTTTACATGATAAATCATTATATTTTACTAGACACAAGTCATTTTCAAAAAATTTAGATAAATTTTAACGAATTGCATATTTATACCACAAACATATACACACTGTTCTATGGTATGTCTTTATCAACTAAGTCAATAACAATAATATATGGTATGAATGTATACTTTTACAATAAGGCTGACAGAGTGTCTCAGCTCAGAATCGTTTTTTTGTATGATTTAACATGAAATAGTTATTAAAAGTATAAAATACATTATAATTTATAATATTAAGTATGTACAATGTACACGTTAATAAATATAGAAGAATATACATAGGTGATTTGATGAAATTATTTTCATTATTCAGCACGAACTGCTTTTGTAACATACCTAATTTTTAAATTGCAAATAGGGCATTTTCCCGATCTACTCCATATATGTTTGGCACACGTGTAGCAACAATATACATGTGCCGTTTTGCCGTGGTTAAAAATGCCATTTTTTGGTTTTAAAAAACAAATATTACAAGAGTTTGTAGTGTTTTCAAATGTATCAGAGTTACTATCTTGGGATAAACATAGACCAGATATTCCTAGTGAATTTAAGGACTCTTGGGAATTAGAGGTAGAAGATGATTCTTGACAATCTTTAGGCAAAAAATTTTCCTCTGCGCGGTTGGCCATGTTGTACAAACGTTTGATACTTTTTGGTTTTGGATTTGATGTACTCTCAAATAATTGCATCCGGTACTAAAGAAACAACAAACATTTACAATTAAATAACACATTTTGTTTTAAATTAAAATAATAACTGTATTTTTGTCTCCAATGCCTATACTTCACATAGTAATATTAATTCAGTATATTTAAATAGCCTCAGAAAAAATAATATTTTTTCATTTTTCATTTTTCAATTTTATAGTTAGTTGAACTTTATAGTATTTTCATATACACTTTACTCCGAGCCACGAGAGAAGTAACTCGTATCCCGACCAAATTACGTTCGAATTCACGCATTCCCCACGCATTTGAGGGACAAAGTGAGAGAAACAGAGCCTAGTAACAATCAATGCTGTCAGTCTGTATGCGTGAAACGCGTATCTTCTCGTAGTGTGGAGTATAGCGTGATCCAATTGAAAGATCGAAAACCAGATTGGGTGGGTGGTCTTGGACTACAAATAGTTATAACTTTAAAACTATAAGTCCGACCAACCAAATTCTGACTTCATCATTGTTATTAGCATGCTTAACTACTAATGTTAAAACTAAAAATTAGGTGCCTGGTAAAACAAAAATGTACCATAAGTAATTTTCTAATAATATTTTTACAATATAATAAATGACAGTGTGAACTCTGAGTATTTTTACATTGGTCTTTAATAGAACTTGTTGGGTGAAGTACTCTGATAAACATATGTATACAATTTAGTCCCCCTCCCCCATAGAAAATTTAATGAACACCACTGAAATTAAGTATCAAACCACTCATTTATAAATTTTAGATTAAGCGGATGTGAACTTAAAACCAACAACTATGGGGGAATGACAAAAAAAATCTTAAATTTTCAAAACAATTCAATCATATACAGAGTAAGCACAATAAGTAATTTTTATTGAGTACATAATAACAAGAATTAACAGATTGGGAGAGCACTCAGTAGTACCACCAGATTTCTTCACAGTTTACACACAGACTTAAGAGTTGAATAAAAAATAATATACTATATAATTGTTATACAAAAAACTTATAAAAACAAAAAACAAATAATATAGCGCTATCACTGGGTTGGCTTTTTCCCTCCTTTTTTATGCAAATAATCTTGTATCAGATATTTTTATTATACCCTAAGCCACAGATTATATATTTCTTTTGAAAAATAAAAATCTTTCATTTTACTATACAACTTACCTTAAAACACTGATTACAGTATTGAAAATTATGGTTGGAATTTGGTTTTTGGCATTGGGAGCATTTTTGAAAAACTACTGGAGATTTGAAATTTGTCTCTGAAATTAATATTTGTAAATCTGTATCATCAGGAACATAAACATTCTCAGTATCAAGGAAGATATTGTTTTTTGTAACCTAAAAATTAAGAAAGTTATTAAAATAATTAGTAATGTGGCAAATGAATATATATTTTAGTTGAAATTGGTATAGTAGTGAGTGGAGAGCACAGTTTACCTTGTTACTATTTTGATAACCACTTGTTTCAATATTATTTGATTCCTCTAATAATGTTTATACATTCAATCGACATGTTTCCAAACATGCTTTTTTAAACATAGTAATTTTATTAATATTTCTTGATAACTTATCAACATGTTATGTCATTAGTATCCACAACAGTTACGCTCACCCAATAATATATACTATAGAGCAGAGGTATTCAAACTTTCTCATCCCACGGCTCCTTTAAGTCTTCACAAAATGTTGACGGCTCGAAAATTATAAGTGACAAAAAAATCAATGTTTACATGAATGTAATTTATATTTTATAATTTATACTTATTATTTATTTACCATATTACATATATAAAACAAAATTAAAGCTATATTTAGCGAATGATTGTTGTAGACAATTAATGTTTCCCAACAAGCACACTGATAATAGCAAAAGTTTTTCGTAAAAATATTTATTGGTTTTCAATTATACTACACGGCTCCCTTCAACAACTCCCGCAACGCACAGTTTGAATACCTCTGCTATAGAGTATAGACCACTCAGATAGATAAACAATATTATACATGTACACAATATCGCACCCCGGCAGGCGACTATAGTAACACAAGTCAAAAAGTAGACTTTTTCCTTTGTTTTGCTAACATTTGAAAACGTACACAAATATTCATTGAATGAGATGTTTTATATAAAAATATGTTCGGATGTGTGTAAAATTTTTCTATTCTATATCATAAAATATTATAATCCTCTTTCATACATTTCTGTAAATTACGTTTAAATATATACAAGCAATCGCCCTTTTTACAAGTTTATAATAACTATCGTACATGCTTAAAGTAATTCTAACAAATATATGCAATTATTTTAACACGAAAAGTATTAATACAATGATTTTATTTATTCCAAAGTCTTAAATATAAATACACTATGAGGAAGTAAAAGAAATCTAATTTAATGGAGATCTTATTAACGAGAATAAAAGCTTTTGAAAAAAAAGAATCATCACCACTATTAGTGCTATAATTAAGCACTACGAATAGATCTACAATTCTAGTGTTTCTACCAGGTATATGGAAACAAATTTCTGATAATAACTCAGGACATTCAATGATGTTGTTCAAAATATCATAAATAAACATGACATTTGTTAATTTACATAAAAAAAAACATTAACAGTATCTCTAGTTATCTGTATATTGGATATATGAGAAATTCTCCTAAGAAATGTATAATATTGAACATTGACAACTAAGGTCGAAGTTATACTTAGGATAAATGTAAACAAGTCTATTCCATTGACATAGACTAACCCTTAGTACAATTTGGTCTAAATAGTAAATTTAGTTATATTTTTTAATTTGTATAGATGGGTAAATGTTGGAGAAAATTATGAAAAGAAGAATGTTTTTTTTTTTATTTGTTAAACTCAGAAAATTGTCTATTATTTTTGAAATTGTAAATAGTGCCCCAAGTTGGTTTAGGTGAATGCTAATATAGGGTTTTCATAAGAAAAACATCAGATTACCCCTTGTTGTCGATATTCAATATGGGCAAGCAGAAAAATAAGAAAAACACATAGAAAGAATAATTTGAATAGTTCAAATACAACTGAATTGATCAAACCACAATTTAACTAAAAAAATTGTTTCATTGAAAATACATCTAGATTAATTATTAATTTTAATTACAATATAATTTCAAAACTGTCCCAAGATTGGTCCGTTTGACGGAATACAAATACTACACATCATATCATATAAATATTTAAATAAAAATAAAAGCGGTTCTAATTTAATTTCACTTAATTACTATTTAATAAAATTATTATAGCATTTTTGTTTAAACTTGAATTCTGCGGAATATTCACGGAATTTACTTATTCATGGATGCCATACCATCACCCGATTCCGCGTAATATCAAGAATACACTGTAGTTATAATTACTAAAATAAGAATTAATACTTACTTCCTCACATTCTGATGTATCTGATTGGCTTGAACTTATATCGTCACAACCACTTTGACTAGAATTATCGTCACAATCACAGTCACTAGGACAGCTTGTTACAGATGAAAAATCAAGGAGATCTGCTACCTCGACTGAAAAAAAAGTTAAGTTAATTAAAACTTATAGTTAAAATGTATAAAGGTTAATTAAAATTTGACGTGGTGCATGAATTGTCTAATTTGATAAACTGTAGTGAATTAATGGATGTCAATTTGTGTTTGATCCCGAATGGATGACCAAGTTTCTTCATATAATCATTCTTCACATCAAAACTATGCTTATTGAAATAAATTATAAATTTTTAATATTTATAATTAGTTGTTAATTTAGAAATTAACGTTCAATACCTACTAAAATAAAATAAAAATAAAGTGAACATAATATTATTTTTAAATTGATAAACACTATTATTATTTTTTCTAGATTATTACAATTTTCAGTTTTTTATTTAAAGGGGGAAAAACACAAAGTTAAGTCTAAAGACAAAATGTATACAGTTATTAATTGATCAATAGGATCAACCATGGTTGAATTAATTAATTCACCATTTCCTTCAATTGCTATACTAATATTGTAATAAAACTTTTAAAAATAATAATAATAACACAAAGCACAAATAATGCACAAATAATTAAAAAATAAACCAGATGTGTAGCCAATAAAATATTCTCATAAATAATGTATATAACACACATACATAAATATACGTATATATATAAATGTATATAATAAAAATAAATATCAATATGAGTTTAAATATTTTGAGCATTAAATCTAAAGCCTATTTTCCTTTATTATTAATTATTATAATTTATAATATATTATTAGAGTTAATAAAGCCCGGATTAAGACTATTCATCGCAAAGGGCTTTAAATCAAAGGCTTGGTCCCATAAAAATCTGGGTAATAAAAGTTAAAACGGAGGTTTCAGTGATTATTACCTATTATTATTATCCAAAATCTAAAACTACTTTATTATTACATTTTTTTTAAATGAAGAAATTAATGACAAATCAATAGACTTTTAAAAACATTCTTAGTTTTTGTTTACTTTTAACCTTAAAATATGTCAACTCAATAAAATTGTTCATACAGTAAATACAATATACTTTTATGTTTTTAATAAGATTTTCATATTTTAGTAACATAAAGAATAATAACTTTAAAGAATCATTAGTAAGATATACATATATTATTCAACAAATAATTGAGATTTAAGCTTGTTTCATTTATATCCACATAACAAAGCAATTCATTACTTGTAACTTTTTTTATTTCTGTTTTTATACTACTACCAATTTCCTTTCCCTTAATCCGGACTATAAGTTAGTTACTTTTTTTTTATTATTATTATTTTAAGAAAATTTACAATCTGTATTTATAATACAATTAGTAAAAGTGATGACTGTACATAGACATATACATAATAATAGTAAACAAAACACACAAAGCTCATGATGAGGGAAGTCATCTATTGGCGGAACCCTTCAAAAGTTAGTAACTTAAAACTTAAATTGATCAGGTATTATTTGTTTTAAATCACACAATTGTAACACTCAACGTCAAATATTTAAGTTAAATTTCAAAGTCAACTTAGATATTTTTAAAAAATTATTACTTGTAGCTTTGGATTGGGTACTATGAATAATTTCAGACTGATCTGAATCATTTATATTTTGGAATAAATCAGGTGATTGTGATTTTAATTCGTACGTATATAAGTATCTTGACTTTTTTTTGTTTACCCATGTTTCATACTCGTCCTCATCTATAAGTAAATTTAAACAAATTATATTATTCTTAAACTTAATAACTCTAATATTAGCTTATTCCTGGGGAATTACAAACTCTTTTTACATAGTACAATGTACGTACCATTACTATAACTCACATCTTCTGTAGTTCTTTTTAGCGTTTGGGGAGGCATACCTGAAATTAATTTTAATTCAAGAAAATTACTTGAGTTTCCTGCAGATCACAAGAAATACACTACTAAAAGGTTATACAAGAAAATATAACTTAAAATCTTTTGTGTATGTACATAAACAATTGAAGAAATAATAAATTAACTCTCAAATTATCTGAAAACAATCTTATGATATTTATAAATAGATCTGTCTCTTAATTTTCAGCTGAATGTAACCAAGATAAATTCATCATAACATTGACCACTGTTATTCCAATCAATAAATTATATCTATTAAGTTGGAACATAATATGATGATAACAACTTTGGTGCTCATAATAAAATAATTGGACCAGTCAGGCCCATACGCATGATTTCTGAATGGAGAAAAGGTGTTTTGAAAAAAAAATGTATAAAATATAGATACATCCATGATTAAATATTATTATATAGGTGTTTATATTAACCTCTATATTAATTTTGTAAGTATATGAAAAATGTTTAAATCCATATCATAAAATGTAAACCATTGTTGTAATAAATTACAAATACAACTGTACAATATTATAGCAATATTGTAATATATTTACAAAAAACACAATTTAGATTTTTTCGGAAATGGGGGGGGGGTTGATCCCCCTCCCAACTGCACATTAGCCCAAGTCCAGTCACCAGGGATGCAATTTCAATGAATAAACTGGTGAAGCCAAGTATTTTTTTTTTTGGTAAATCTTATGATTAGGTAGGGACAGTAACTTGTCAACTTGATAACCTTGGGATTTAAAAAAAAAACCTCAAAAAAATTAGTATCTATGACATGAAAATGTCTAGATTTACAAAATAAAGTGCCTTTAAAAATGTCTATTAAAAATTAATTATTAACTCCTAACAAAAAAAACCAGATTGTCTCCCATTAATTAAATCTTAGTTTTGAGTATTTTGAAGTTGATGAGAAAATTTAAGATGTTAAAGGGCACTGTTCCATTGACAGCAACTTATCAACACTAAACTACAAAAACTGTTGACTATCATACTACTGACAATAATTACGCTAATGGTTTACAACTTTATTTTTCGCTATGGAGTAGGTGAAATAATATTATGGGTGTGTTTGTGTTTTGATGAACAATTTAAGAGATTAGAAAACTCGACAATTATTCAAAGCAAAAAGATCAAAAAACCATTTTGTCATTTCGATTTCATAGAAATCACGTGTCTGCTTGTATTCATTTAAATTATTTCTAAAAAATAACAAAAATATAATAAATTCCCTTAGAAACTATCAAAATGTATTAAATGACCAAAAAATAAGAGGATCTCTCAGTGTGTCTGAGTGAGAAAACAAATATTGTGCTGACATCATCTTAACCATGATAAAATAACATTATTTTATTATGCTCTTAAATACATACGAGACACCAACATGTCTTATCATTATCAATTAATCCAGTTTTAACCATTCTCAACAGTCCAACAAATTAAACAAGATTACTCATCAACATCTAAACTCTTAAAAGCTTTTGTTCACTTTTAATTTACTTATTCTTCATTATTTTCCCGCCAGCCTCTTTTTGATCTTTATATAAAACCAATAACCATCCTACCATCTACAGTTAATTGCTGAAATCCTTTAATCCAAATAATCTCCTTAAACACTGATATAGGCTTTGTCATCAAAAGATTATAACTTAGTTACTTCTAAATAGTTATTATAACTATTTTTTGTATAAAGAAATGTTAGCAAAAATTATTAGGTATATTTCATAAAAAATTAAATGTTTAAAACCCATACAATTTAAAATTTAAAAATCTATACGAAGAATGAAATATAGAATGGTTTTAATCATGGAAGCATTGCTAAAAAAATAAGAATTTACTCGAGAATTTAGTATAAGAGAAGTCGAAACTGAGAGAAAACACTTTTTTTAAATTGGGTCTATTGGAGGGAAAAATAGCGGTAAAAATATACAGAAAAAAAATCTTAAAGACAAAACATTCACAAATTTTAACATAATACCTACCTATTGTAATATTTTTAATAAATTCAAATCGCCTATTTTTTTTTATTAAATGTAAATTTAATACATCCATTACAATACTATACTCAATAAGGAGATACACTTGACACACCTACTCTATATAGCTGAGTCCATCTAGTAATTTATAAATGTATAACTATATAAGTAGGTACCCATCAATATAAATTAAGTAAACTGTACTTTGCTCAAACCAGTCAAAACATCAAAATGTTTATCAAAAGTCAGGCGATAAAAATGCAATTTATTAAATGGTGTTACAGTATTTAAAAATAAATACCAATACGTTGCCATGTTAGATTTACCAGAAATTTTTTTTCTCGCATAGATTTTAATTTCCATGGGCTGTTTTTACCAGGAAGTGTTAATTTGTTTCCATTAAATTTTTGTTTTCTATTTTTTTTCCACGGTCATTAACGCTGATTTCTTGGGGAAATAGTAAGACAATTTATAATTCAATTATAGAAGTTACATTGGTTACGTGAAGCACCACTACGACAGAAGAGGGATTAACTGGAATAGGAAACTGTACAGTAGGGACTACGCTAACAATTGAGCCCCAATTTAAACAAGTGATTTTACTACCCAACTATTATCTTTTGTTTTTATTCTCTTGTATAACTTAACAAAATCATTTTCAATATTAGGTTTAAAATGTAAAATGTTTTTCAAAACACAATAAAGCAGTTAACATTATATATTTGATAACAAAAATCATAAGGTAAAAGTCATCGTGGAACATACCTGAGGTATGGTAAAATGTAATGGTTTAAAAATTATTAAGATAAACAAATATAATATACCTAATGTCCTAATCAACTATAAAATAAATAATATCTTAATATTTTAACATGCCTAGGTACAATAAATTAAACATTGACACTACCATATTGTGTAATAAATCGTTAAAATAATAATTAGGTACTTAAATGTACAGTAGATATTTTATATATTTTTATTTTAATTTTGATTAAGGCTTCAACTACTAAGGTTATTAGCCTTGTACTTTTTGGAGGGAACGGTTGGTTGAAACATGTTTGAAAGTGTGACAAGGATTTGTTGCTAAAAACCAGGGTGGTCACCCATCCAAGTGCTAGCAACAACGGCCGGTACATACACACAGTGTTGCTGCAGATCGCGCCTTACCAGGCCACATATTATGTATTATACTACCTATATATTAACAGTTATGATTAAAACCTATTAAAATATTTTTATTAGATCACATAGACTAGTGGTAGCTTAAATCCTAATCAAATAATCAAACATATTATAATAGGTACTATTAAAATATTAAATACTAAATAGGTACATATTAATTAAAAAACTTATGTTGTATAAATTAAATCAACAACTTTACCAATATATTTATATATGTCAATACATTATTTCAAATATTTTTAGACGCACCCAATTATACTGCATTCGTAAATTATTTAGTATAAAATATATAATTTAAAAATGGCTCACACTGGAACCAAATACAATACCTTATGATAACATTAATGTAAATAAATAAATAAGACTTACCTTAGATAATTCTACCTACAAATCAAACAGGAACATAAACCAAATCAATCAATCCAGTAGAACTAGAGATGTTGATCATCGACATTTTCAACGTTCAAGTAAAAGTTTTAACAAAACACTGCACGAAATAACATGAGACTTATGACAGACGGTTTTTTTTTTTTTTTACATAACTTTTGTGGTACAATTTATTACACAACGTGAACAGTGGAATACAGTAAACCAAACACCGAAAATTGAAGATAAACCATTAACGAGCATTGTTGAGAGCAAGGATTAGGGACATCGTCGCGACAAGGCTGAACATGTCTATTGATATTTAGAAAATGATAATTATTATTTATTTAACGCTTTTACGCCTCCCACCGTCCACTAGTACCACACTGCCATTTCATTTCTCGTTCACAATATCAAAATTCACAACAATCAACAGTGCGGCGGTGCCCGTGCGGCCGTGCACGACTCCAACTTCCAAGACCATGCGACGTTGGCGTATTTTTTTTTTAACGTTTTCCATGATAATTCTTTAATCGCGATAAGAATCAGCCAATGAGAGAACTTGACAGCATTTAAATATTAAAACATTCTAATATTCAAAAGCAAATGTATACAATAGGAGTATAGGACCAATAGGTACTGAATAAATAATAATATAGTCTATATATCTGTGTATTCAAAATTGTTGTATACTGTGATATTCAATAATCATTATTCATAATAATATTGATGTTTAGCACACCTTATGCACGACTCACGAACATCTGATAAACAAAAAGGTACAACGTAAAAACACCACATGTAACACCTTAATACTACTGTAGTACTGACAGTACTGTTAAACACCTATCAACCGAATGTCTCCTGACAAATGACTCTAGAGACAAACTAATGCTCGCCAACAATCTATGCGAAATACTAGCACCCAACACGGCGAGAATAATTTCTCTTCTGGAACTCCTCAAAGAGACGAACGTATTTCGCAAGATATAACAAGGCCATACAGATTATCACATTTAATTTAAATAACATAAACCTTAATGTATCATTTTAAGATATTTTGTTTGCAACTTAAATAGTAATGTATTTTAGACATTTTAAAATGTAATGTATATCGTTATAAATGCTATTAACCCTGCAGGTAGTTGAGGCATACCTATTTTTAAACTAAAAAAAAAAAATTATGTTTAAACTTGTTTCAAAATGTTTAATATCAATGACAGACATTAATTTCATAATAATTAAAGTATTTCTACTAGGAATTATTAGATATCTACGGCTAGTTCTAAGCCGTGTCCCGTACTCCCGTAGTCCCGACAGTCCCGTGCTGATGTTCTAGAACCCACTTTAAAAAAAAAATAGGTACTTATTAGGTATTTAAATCTTATAAATTAGGTATATTATGTATATTGTCCTCTGCGTATATCTTATGGACTATGGGCCACAATCTATAATTCTATAATTCTATTTAGCCCGCAGATCCACACGCTGCGTCGTTCGCAATGGTACACTTGTGACTTGTACTAAGGTACTAAATGCTCTACTTGTACCGGCGCCGTGGCGGTAAACACCATGAAAAATTAAATTTTCGTGGTAAAAACTGAAAATGTAAAATGCAGCGGGTCAGCGGACACATATTGCCACCATTCACATATCGCATTTTCTCCACCGCCAAGGCGCCAACCACTAGAATAAATTACCACGGAATAATAACCGCAAGTACTTCAGTGTGGTAATCGGAATAAAAATCCCCGGAAAAAATTTTTTTCCCTGGTATTCGAATTCCGAAATTAAAGTGTGTAACGTGTGTGGAATGTGCGCCACATAAGTTGTTCAATTTATTCTGTGGTAAGACTTTATCAAATTGGTACCTACCACATAATATATTATTTATAAAATATAATATCATAAGTGGAGGTGATGCTATACCTTCTCGTGGTCTCCCCCGTGAGTAGTGTGTTCTCAGAGTATTTTTCAAACTTACAACACAGTGAACAAATACAATGAGTACATGAATACACGCAAATGCAATGCATACATCCCTGGACTTAATAGTTTCTTTGACAAAAACAGGCGGCCCCCTTTTCAGCCAACCCTTATAGTTTCCTTTTCGGCCAGTACAGTTTTCTTTGAAATGTATAATCGTAACAACTGCACCTAACAATTTTTTTTATTTAATTATATATGATTGTATCCAAAAATGTGATTTTTTTTATAAAGTTATTAACTACATATGTGTATTAATATTTTTTTAATAATAAAATAAAATAATTGTCAATGAAATGTTATAACATAATATTATATTACATTATAGTTGAATCGAAATTGATTTTTGTTTGACAAAGTTTACTATTTTTATAGTCTTCACTCTATAAAATTAAATCTCAATTTTTGACATATTCATGAACACACATTTTATCATCATGATTATTATTATATAGGTATTATACCTACATGTTTACCTATACGACTATTTCTTTTAAATATTTTATTGTTATCAGTTATGTTGGTTTATATAATTGTTGAGCTAGTAATAAAACGAAAAGCTAAAAAAAGTGTATACGACTATATTATTAATTTTTATTCAAATTAAGTAATCAGAAATCTCAATTTCCGACATATTATTCCTGAATGTACATTTGAATATTATAAATAAATATTAATACATTGCTATATTAATTTTTATTCGACTAATGTAATGTTATAACATTTTATTGCCAATTATTTTTTTTCATACACTTGTAGAGTTGTAGCCTGTAGGTGGTAATAACTTTATAAAAATCACATTTTTGAATACAATCATATTTAGTTAAATATAAAAATTGTCAAGTTCAGTTGTTACTTGTTATAATTATAAATTTTAAAGAAAACGATGACGCCCGGTAAAAACAGCGCTTCTTGGGATTACTCCACCGAGGCCATGCTTTCAAAACACCCAATACCCGATTTCATTTTATAAACCCGATACCAGTATCCAAATTTATTATTTTAGATCAAAGACCTGTAAAAAGTCAATAGATAAAAGGTTAATATAGCGATCTTATAGCAAGATCACAATTTTGAACCACCATTATATTCTCAAAAAATGTATCAAATTTTGCGCTATCCGCTAATCCACTAATTCATTATGTTATGCCATATCGAAAGGCTCAACCTTGCCAGGTCATCGTCCAACCTCTGGCTGAAACTCTGAAAGTAATTTTTATTGGGTCCAAAAGGATTACACATTGACTTTAAGTTGGCAATTACCTAACTAGCCGCTCATAAAATAATTAGATTTTAATTATGATTAAGAAAGAAGAGGACCATTTTTATTACTTATGGGCTGTGTAACTGTGTTATATCAGACATATAATAGGTATAAGTATCTACCAAAAAATACAAAATTTAGGTTTACAGATTCTGTATAGTGGATAAAAATAACTGAAACATTTTAATAATTTTTAAGAACTATTTAAAATTGTATAATAATAGTATATTGGGGCGATTGTAAACTCCGACAGAATACGCATTAGATAAAAAGGTAATGAAAACGTCTAATGTAAACTCCGCTATTTTTATTTTCTTACCTGTAATGGATACATGGCAACTCCGCCAATGCTTATGTAAAACTTAATAGTATATCTCAACTAAAGAAGCTCAAAAATCCAAAATGATAGTGTTAGAGAACGTTATAAATAGTTATGATAATGGACATGGGCGGAGATCGGTGGGGGGGGGGCTTACGGGAGCTTAGTCCCCCCAAAATAAATGATTTGAAGTTAAAGACCCCCTAAGAATATTAAACAAACAATACCGTAATTTTGTACAGTTTGCAGAACTTTTTTCATTATTTTATATTCTTATATCCACAATTATATAAGTGTACCTAGTACATTACAAACACGATACACACTATTTACCAATTTATTATTTACGGTAACATACCGAACAATTAAGTCACAATTCACAATAATATTATATTGTGTTTATATACCTAATATTGTACATATTTTGTACCAATTGGCCATCTATATTGAATAACATATTATACCATTCTATTTTAGATGGGAAAATATTATTTCTTTTCCTAATTTTTGTTAATTCTCGAGAAGCGATAGCTATTATAGGACTATCGCTATAGCTGTATTAAACCTATCGTAAAGTTTATCGCGATTGAATGAATCGTTAATCGTATTGACCATTTTATACTAAATTATATTTTACTTATTTGATGTTCCTGGGAATACATTTCTTTTGAGATTGTGATTTAGATTTTTAATAAATAATTTAACAAAATTCAGCAATTTCAGAATATTGCTCTTCGAAAAATTACTAATGCTCCACCCTTTGTTTCGAATTACACTATACATAATGACCTGTCAATAAAAACTGTGACAGAAGAAGCTATACGTTTCTACAAAATCTTTCATGCCCGGCTGCAAACACACCATAACCCACTCATTAAAAACCTATCCATCCAAACATTACCTGGCAACCCCAGGCGTCGATTAAAAAGGAGATGGTGCCGTGATTTGTTAGGGAACTAATATCAAATATAAAAATTATAAAAATAAAAAATAAAAAAAAAAAAAAAATATATAGCTAGTTTCATACAACCTCCAGTTAAGTGCCATTAGTGGGTGGCTTCTTACTCAAGTACTCATGTATTATATTTTAACTCTTATCAAATATGCTAATTGTGCAAAATTGTACAGATTGTATATATATTGTGTAAAATAAAAAAAAAAAAAATAATAAATAATTTGTTCAAATATGTTTGAAATATTTAAATTCAAATCGTTTATTAATTATTCATTTTTTATGTTTGTAACTATTTAAGTTGTTATGATAACGAGTCAATGAGAACAATTTTTTATGAGTGATCTAATGTAAAAATTAGTTTGTTGGGGGTGTGGGGGCAATGCCCCCGCGGGTCTGTTTGTCATAAAATATTTGAGCCCCTCATAATATTTCACAAGATCTCCGCCTATGATAATGGATTTATTTTGGACTGAGATGTCAAAATGCCTACAAATTGTATCTCATCATTTTAGTTCACAGTTCCACATATTATAACATAACATAACATACCTAGGTTGCTAGATACATATTTTATGATTATAATAATTATTTATTATGAAAATACCTACACATGAAAATTTAGATGATTTGTTCTGGCAATTATTATTTTTATTAATTTTTGTATATTTTGTGGGATATTATAATAAGGTACTTGATATCTATCCTATTCCTATTATACTGTGACTTGATTTTCTTCACTGACAAAGCCTACATGGCTACATGAACTTAATTTTACTTGATTTTGATCACTGGCGGAGTTTACATGCGTCCATAGTATTGAATACTATTGAATATTGATAATGGTAAATTAATCATACCTACTACCAATATTTGTTTTTAGATTCCGAGAGGAGCGAAAGAATGTAGGCTATGGATTTCACAATGATATGTTTTTTTTATCACTTTTTGGGACAGTAAAAATGGTCCGAATTTCTACTTCAGCATCTTTTCATGTAGAAAAGTGAAGCAAGTCAAAATTAAGAAATTCCCTGTAGTTAAAAAAAACTTAGGAAAAAATAAGGAAAAATTAGAATTTTTACGCAAAACAATTTTTAACAAAATCTGTTTTTGTTATTTTTGGAATAACTCAAAAACTAACAACTGTAAAGTGAAAATACTTGAATTTATATTACCTTTATTCATAAATTTACATTTATTTAAAAATATTTTAACACTTTTTGAGTTATTTATAGCCATGAGAAATTCTTGATTTTTTTTTTTTTTATGGTCGATAGATATTTTTTTTTGTTGTATCAAAAAACATGAATATTGAATCACAAGTTTCCTCATAACAGTCATAACTCATTAGGCGATAAAACAGCAGTTCAAAAATAATAAAGATACATTGGCACGGTTTTTCTGTAAACGCATTTTTTTTTGCCAACCAGATTTTTTTAAATAATTGTCTACGAATTATAATTATAATCGAATAATATTGGAAATAATTAACAGTTATAATGATGGTACCATAATTCCAAATACATCATTAATAATTATTTTTTTTTATTGAAATTTTTGCCTTAGGTGAAGTGGGTACCTACTTAAAAACAAATTATGTGGATACCCATAGGTTATTTATTATAAAAAAAAATAAAAACATTTATTTTAAATAGTTTTTTATCTGCTTAATATATTTATTTTTTTAATTGTTCATACTTAGTATAAGGTCTATGATTTGTTTGGACTTTTTGACCATTTACATATGATATTCACCGTACGATAGTCGATTCCAACCAGAATTAAAGGGGTGTGGCATTTAGTATTCACCAAAACGCTCCTTCATCGGACTGGTCGTTTTGTAGTGGACGACACTTGCGCCTTTGCAGAGGCTGTTGATGCGATCTAGTGGATACGAAATGTATTTATTATTGAAAACAGTAAAAAAGTTGAGTTTGATTTCGGTATTTACTATTTGATAACAAAATATAACACACTGCTGCTGCTGTCGCAGTGTCGGGGACCGGGGTCGCGCCGATTATAATTTATAACCATGAGAAAAAAAATGTTATGTTACATAGTTACATTATCATTTATCCGTCTTAACTCTAAATTCTGTCATTAACTAACTATTAATTATCAAACATCCGTAATAGCATGGTAGCCGGTAGGTATTAAAATCTAATTAGCATAAATGATTTTTTAGCGATGTAACGTACCTACCTATCCTATAGTAATTCGTAAAAAAAAAAATGGATATTAAATATTTGTGCATTGAACATTGGCGTTACAATTTTTAGTTAATACCTGGAACCTAATACAAGTCGATCATAATGTATTAGTTAACAACGAAGTATTGCATAATTACCTATATGTTAACACTATTCAATAATAAGTAGCTTATACTTTATTACTTGTCAAAATAATATACAACAACCGACACCGAGGTTGGAGATGAATATTATATGCATCGATCTTGTAATAGGTTATAGGTACCACTAGTTAAATTGTAAACATTTGATAATGGAAAAGGATCACAGATTATTTAACATCAAAATGAACTTGAGCATTTATACACCTACATAAATAGTTTTTGGATGTTGGTTAAATTTATAGCACTTAAACATTTTCAGGTAAAGTTAATACAAAAATTGAAATACCTAGTTATTGATACCTTCTAATCATAATGTATTGCTTGAAAACATTAGGTGTCCATGTGTATAATAGTTCATTTCTTTTTAGGTAAAATGGCATTAAACATTGAGTCGGCACTTAGTTCATTTGAGAATTTGTCTTCTAAAAATCCATTTTGGAACATTGATTTACCTAAGAGTCCATGGGATGTAGATGATGACTTTGAAGATTTGGACGTATTGTGCGAATTGGTTAGAAATCAATACTTGAAACGTCTCCATCAAACATTGCTCAATAATTTAGATGTTACTAGTGGTTACAAAAAAAAACCTCTTTATCAGATTCAACATTGTGTAGATTTATGTATGGCTGAATTGGAAAAGCAAGCTTTAAGACGATGTATGATTGCTAGTATTTATCGCCAATGCATGACTAATTTGGTATGTTTTTATTTCAGCATTACTATTTAATAGTTTTAATCAAATTTTTTATGATTGCATGTTGTTTATGTTTATACTTATAGCTGTCAATTAGTTTTAATTTTTCATTAAATAAAATTAAAATATACTTATGCCAATTTTAACTTAACTTAGCCTCCATTTGATAAATTGGTAAATTCATTGTAAATTATTTTCATTAGGTAGAACATAACTACATGGATAATTAAAAAATGGACCTATTTATATTAAATTTAACCTTAATATAATGATTAATAGCTAATGTTTTTTTTTTTAATATTTAGATTAATAAAATTAAGACCTGCACACAAAATTCAATGCTATATGATTTGCTTAAGCATATTATTGAGTCAAACAATCAAATACCATCAAGTGATAAATTATTTGAAGCTGAAAATGTAACACAAAAATCAGTGGGTATTGATGTAAGTGTTAATACTGAACAAAAATGTAATAAAATAACATCAACACAGACTGAAATATGGACAGATCCTGACAATAATTTATCTAATAATATTCCTATTAATAAAGTTAATACAGATCTGGTAAATAAATCTAATTTACCTTCTAGTTCCTACAATGTGAAATCTAAGATCTCTGAATCAAATAATATCTTTAAGAATTTAAACTCTTTATTAAAATCATCTTGTTCTTCAAATTCATCTCCTGATGTTCACATGGAAGTAAATTATAAGTATGAATCTTCTGAATTTGAAAATATACAAAGGAAAGACGATCAAGAAAATTCTACATCAAATGATTTACTAAGCATCAATGCATTATTACGAGATCTTCAAGATTCTCCTGAATATGAACAACAGTCTTCTAAATTGGAGGAACGTTTAATTGCTTTAGGGTTAGCAATTGAAAATAATAAATCCACAGATGATTTAACCGAATTAACTAAACCAATTAATATAAGTCCTAGTATAATACGACCAAACAAAATAAATGAAATACTTATGGACAAATTTAAAAGTAAACGAGTAGCCAAATCATATCAATTACGAAACAGTATGAATGAATTACCTCAAAGTCTACAAATAAGACTGAATCAGAAATTTAATGACTTGTTTGGAAATAGTCATTTTTATGAATCTGATCCATTATCTGAAGAAGAAGAGCGTATTATAGCACATAAAAGGATTGTTAAAATGGTTGTAGAATTTATGACACCTTATTACAAAGCACACCGTATCAACAGACATTTATTTAAAAGTCTTGCTAAATTAATCTCTAAGAATCTTATGGATCGATCATATGACCCAGGTAATTGAGTTTTAAATGGTAGTTTATTTTATCTAATTAAAAAGTTTTAATGAAACTTAATAAGATTCAACAAAAATTTGATCTACTTGATTAATGCCATAAGTAGATTTTAATGTACCTTTGTAAATAAACATATAAAAAGTAAAAACAAATTGGATCAAACAATTGTATTGCCATTCAATTTTTATAATTTATGTAAGAAAGATTGCCCATAAACTATTGTAAGGTTAAAAATGTGAGAATATAAAATTTTTTTTGCTATTTTGGCATAGGTACTGGCATTCTAAATAATTTGTTTTCACAATTAAATTTCTGTAAGCTGAATAAAATAATATTAAACTGGTTAAGAAAAGTAAAGTTTTAAAAAATTATAACTAAAATATAATGGTATAATATACTACATACATTTCAAAGATGTATTCATAATATATTTATATCTCTTATATAAACCATGACACTTTAAGTATATTGATTTATGGAACACTCAATTTTCTAAGCTGGATAACGTTGGATTGAATTTGAAAATTGCTGATAAACTAGCCGGTATCTAAAAAAATGTTTATAGGAACTTGTGTAGTACAACTTGAATTTTTTAAATAGAAACACCTATTTTTCATACCATATTTGGGCAGTCCTATTTTTTCAAGTAATTTGACTCAACAACAATGACTTTTGAATAAAAACTGGCAAGAGCAATATTAATTTTATTGTAAATACATTTTTACAATTTATTAAATGTTAAAAATTAAACACTGTATATCAATTTTATTTTGAATTACAATTATTTTATAGTTATAGACTTCAGAAATTGTTATAATGAAGTAAGATACTTTTTATACATTAGTATAAAGTACACAAGAATATTTCATTTTAAAAAAACATTTAAAACAAATATGAATGAATTAAAACATTTTAGTTTTCTAGTTTGGAAAAATATATTTTCAATTATTAAATTTGAAATGCTAATCATTCAGATAATTTTGATTTTAAAACAATAGATGTGGAGTTAAAATTATTCTAAAAAAGAACCCCTAATATGGTATAAAAAATAAGTATTGCTATTTTTCGATAAATTGGTTGTACATATTCCTATAAATGTATAGTGGAGGCGGTACTAACTTAAAAAAAAGTCCTGATTCAATACAACTTGTTCCTGTCAAGAAATTGAGTGTACCCTAAATCGGTGAATGTAGGTATACATTTATAATATTAATTTTGAAAAATATTATTGATTTTATTCTGAATGCCTTTTTCTTGAATATAACATTAATATTTGATTTTTAAATTAATTTGTTTAGATGAAAACACGGTAGCCAAAGGAGTTAATGAATTTTTTGCTGGAAATAGATGCATTAAGACAGTTGAAGATATCTATATCAATAATTGAATAATGACTTCTATACATTCTAATTCATAATTTATCTATTTAGTACAACGGTTGTTTTATACTTTTATGTTCAGTGAATTTATGATTTATGATTTTCATAAAGAGAATGCTACGCAGACATTTATCATCTCCGTCTAACCAGTGCATAACATTGCAAATTTTTGCTCAGTGGATCTAGCTTTGATATGTTAGTTTAAAAATTATAGTTAATCAACCCTGATTGAAACTTGATGGTAAGAATATTATTTGTATTTGTATGGTTTTTTTTTACTATTATTAAGTTTTTAAACTTTCAAACTTAGCTAAATACTAACTGCTGAGCATACATTTGTTATATGTTACTCACTTTTAAGATGGAGACAACAAATGTCTGTGTAGCATCCTCTTAATTTAAAATGTTTTTTCTTACATAAAATTTATTTTCATTTTTTTGTAATGTACATTTCTAATAGCAATATATTTTATACTCTATTCTACACTCTTACAAAGACTCCTATAATAGTTATTACTATAATATGTTTAATATAGAACTATGATTATGCTGCACCACTGTTTAAGATCCAGGTTTCAATCAGATTTGAGCGATAGATGACTGTCATTATGAAGATAACTTACTTATATAGGTAATTTTAATTTTTGAAGTTAACAAATACTTAGCAAATCGATAATAAACTAGGTTGTCTATAGTAAATCTTTGGATCTTACATTAGGTCATAGTTGAACAAAATATATTATGGATAATGTTAGTAATACCAGTGTCATTGTATAGGTACATACAAAAAATATTGTGGTTGGTAACCTACTACCTATTGTCTATTTTTACAATTATAAAATACTTTTTATACAACATTACCATGAGTGATGATTATCTATATAGATGGCATTTATTATATATAAAGGTTGAATAGGTAACATTAGGATAGAAGTTTGTATACCTAATGCATTACCTACCTATATTATGTTAGTACATAATGCAGATACCCTAAGTGGCTAGTCTTATTCGTCAAAGTGTTTGATATCTAGGTAAGTACCTACCTATTTAATATATTTTTTTTGGACTTTTTGCCTCGGAGTTATTTTTCTAAGTCCTAATGTTATGTCAGCCTCTACTTCTGTGAATATTTTAAAATTAATTTATATGTTAATATAGAAATTTACTTTTTTATTTTTCAGACTAAGAGTAAGAATTAGACATTAATGTTAGGTTCAGCTAATTTTTGACAAAAACATTGCATATGTATTAATGTATTATAGGTACAGCACTACAGCAGTGAGCAATGTAACATTGCTCCTATTTTTAAGACTAAGAGTAAGAATTAGACATCAATGTTAGGTTCAGCTAATTTTTGACAAAAACATGGCATATGTATTAATGTATTATAGGTACAGCACTACAGCTGTGAGCAATGTAACATACCTATTTGGCAGTGGCTACCAATATCATATCATAGAAAATTATAGGGTGGAGTTAACAATTGGTTTTTTTCATCACCTGGAATTTTAGGGTCGAGTTTACAATAAGTAAGGATAGTTTATATTTGATAGCGTGCTCAAAGTGGGGGAGGGTGCGAGGGTGTCATCTCTTGACTCTTTGGCTCATTTTTGTCGTATAATTATGTAACATGGCCTGATAATATATCATAATAATAAAAAATGCATATCCCCTTAAAAAAGCTGAGCCACTATAGTTCTTGTCTATTATTATCTCACGCATTTCATTTGTTTTAAAGATATGATTTTGTTGAAAAATTGAATACCAGCGTCTTAAATACTACGTTGAATTTGAATAACTCATGTTCATTTATTTTTCCAATAGGTATTTACAAATATTTATTAATTTTTCTATAACAGCTGATCACACAGGTACTAGACTCATCAGAATGTACAATTTTTATTTTTTTAAGCTAAAAGTTAAATATTTTTTGTTATATAGATATTATATTACACATTTTTATTTTAAAATTCACTGGGCATACTTAAGAAGACGTTTAATAATAGTTCCAAATCTAATAATTATGTTGACTTCACACTTGTACATTTTTATGTGTTGTAAACCTAAAGAAAATATATTCCGCTATTAAACCATTCCTATTCTACGCTGATCATTATATTTTAGGTGCCCACAGCAGCAACGCAGTCCTACCTATTAAACGATAACCATTGATTTTTAAAGTGGTGTTTATGTAGATCAAAGGTAAAATGTGTATCGGTCTATCTGAATCTGATACTAGTATATTATATTTAATATATTGGCTTCTGTAATGACAGCATAGGCTCTAAAAATATTAAGAACAGCCTCTGATATCGGCTATATCTCAGGTACCTATAGCCTAAAATATTATATATATATGCTATAGGTATATTTATTTACAATAATACAATAATAATAATAAAATGTATATACAGATACTGCAGTCTGCAGCAACAGTGTTGCATCGGCATTTATATGTAATACAGGACTATGTATTATTTTGGATATTGTACGCAAGTAACGAAAATGGTACAAGTGTAAAATTACTCGAATCACAAAATATTTTTTATTTTATACATCTATGATCACCTTAAAATTCGAAGAACAAACCCATTAATAATCTTCACACAAAATTTTTTTTTAAATTATCACTGTTTAGAAATTAGAAGTAGGTACTACCTTCTAAATAATTACAGATGGTTATAGTTTTAATCATGTAACATATTTCTTGTTAATAATTCAGTTATAAATAATAATTAATAAATTACAAAAAAATGTTAGAATTTGTTATGGCTTCGAATTTCATTTCATTTCTACATTTTGGTTATTAAGTTTTGTAGGAATGGCCATACCGTAATCTGATCAATATATCCAGACAGGACAATATGCTGTCGTCATGGTTACGGTCCTTCTCAAGCATGCTCTGTGGTCCATTATATAGACTTGTAACTTTTAGTTTCATCCTTTACACGACTATATAATAGGTAGGTACCGATTCTAAGATGTAAAGCACAATGTAATCGCAATGTTTTTTTAACGATCATCGTGAAATTATGTTTAAGTATATACCCAAGGCTTCTAACAACGACGACGATAAATAGCTTAAACAATAACGAAAAATTGAATTTCACAATTTGGGCGTTGGTACCGATATATACGTAACAAATTTTTAATCAATTCATTACTGAAATTTAAAAAAATGTCTAAGATATTTAAAGTTCAATTGAGCATAATGAAACCAGTTTTCAATGTTTTTCTGTTATGTTTGTTTTCTATATTTTATTGTAAAAGTGAAAATACAGAAAAAGAAAATACCGATAATAATCCATATGAATTTCACATTGGTGGAGTGCTAAGTAGCAATAAAAGTGAAGATTATTTCAAACAAACAATTGAAGTAATGTACAACTTATATATTTTAATAATATACGTTTAAGTAATTGTAATATAAGCTGCAGGGATTCTTTTCACGGGAATTTGACAATACGTAAACATTTAAGTTAACATTTGGACGAAATTAGATATTTAAATGATGAATTCGAATTTTAATTATTTCAAAAATATTATTCGCGGGACTAGAATTGTTTACGCATATTATTATATTTTATACACACAATGGCATTTTCGAAACATTTAGATTTATATAGATTTATTAAGTTATTGCTTACCTATTTTATACCTCGAACATATTTTCACCGTTCTACGGTAAGGATGTAAGATGACTTAAAAGTTAACAACAATTATAAATAATATAAATATATAGGTACTATTATAATTATTAAAAATTAATAATATAAATAGGACAAATAGGTACATAATAAATGTTATGTTTCAACAAAAATAAATTCAACTTACTGCATAGTACCACGTACCGTAATAGTAATAGTAAAATAAATTACACTAATAACAATATCAAAAAACATATCATGAATTATCTATATACTTACTTAGTAATATGTAATATATACTACAAGCTACTATTTTCAAAAACCAAAATTTAATGCTATTTAACTTTATGTGCAAATCAAGTTAAGCACATTTTAGTTTATATTAAAAATAGGTATATTTTGGATTTAGGAAATATTTATTTTTACAAAATATAAATATTTCCATAGGCAATTTTGGTAGGTACTAAGGTCTAAGGCTAGGTATTACATTTCAGTTTAAGGTATATTTAATTAAAAATTAATTCAAAGACGTTTTGAGGGTAGATTGTATGTACTCATTGCGTGCTATTTATGCCTTGTGGCCTGTACCTATATAATAATAAATATTATTTATACGGGTACCTTTAATAATATATGTAATGTGTTATGTGTGTGATAATTTTTTGAACGAAAAAAATTATGATATACTTGTATTCACGTCATATTTTTGTTGTTTGAATAGCATCTAAACTTTAATACACCATTTATGAAACCCGGTAACACATTCTACGCTCATTCAATAAAAATGGATCCAAATCCAATCAAAACCGCTCTCAACGTTTGTAAGCAACTCATAGTGCGAAGGGTGTATGCCGTTATTGTGTCTCATCCACAAATCGGAGATTTGTCTCCGGCTGCTGTATCATACACAAGTGGTTTCTATCATATACCAGTGATCGGAATTTCGTCCAGAGATTCTGCTTTTTCGGATAAAGTAATAATTATCATACTGTATTTTTTACATTAATTGTTATTAATGTTTGTTATTCATTTGTATTGTGTATCTAAATTATAAAATATTGTTACAGAATATTCACGTGTCATTCCTTCGTACTGTTCCACCCTATTCACACCAAGCTGAAGTATGGGTTGAATTACTAAAATATTTCAACTATTTAAAGGTAGGTTAATGTATAAAAAAATATGAGTTGTCATGCGTCATTGCAGTAAGCAGTTTGAATTTACCTTTTTCTGAATTAAGTACCTGGGCATTATAGGCACTCCATTACTACACTCACTGTGCTGTGTACATTTTAATAATTCTGAAATCATTTGTGCTCTAGGTCATATTCATCCACAGCTCAGATACCGACGGTAGAGCATTTGTCGGAAGATTCCAAACTACTTCACAAAATCAAGGAGACGACATCGAAAAGAAAGTCCAGGTCATTATACCGTAATATATAACAATAAACTAATTGAATTTATAATATATTAATATCTAATTCAGTTATATTGCAGAGTTCTTTTAATAATAGTGGAACTTCGATATTTTTGTGTTAAAATTTTAAATAAAACCGTCACCTGTCGGTTGCATTGTATATAATGGTATTATACATATACTATTGCAACTTCCAAATCGTCCCAATGCAAACCAAACTGGTCATAAACAAAACTGTCCATAAAATATTGTGTCTTACCACCCTCTGCGTATAGTTTCAAAGTTTAACTCATCCCCCCACCCCCGTGATAAACTCAACTGCTTCAACATGCAAATACTATGTATTATATAGAGCAATATAATTATGTAATGTAGGTAACAATACTTTATGCTGTGGGTAAATGAGTATTTTCTTTTCATATACCGCAGGTGGAGGCGGTTATAGAGTTTGAACCGGGCCTGTCTCATTTCAACAACCAGTTAAACGAAATGAAGAACGCACAAGCCAGGGTGTACTTAATGTACGCGAGCAAATTAGATGCTGAAGTCATTTTCAGGGACGCGGCTTATCGAAACATGACCGAGGCTGGATATGTGTGGATTGTGACGGAGCAAGCTCTAGATGCCAATAATGTACCGGAAGGGACAATCGGATTGAAATTGGTTAACGCCTCTAATGAATTAGCACATATATACGACAGCATGTACGCATATACATTCTTCCTAGTAGTTTGTAGTGTTATTTTTTTACATGTATAAAGTATTATAATTCTGATATGGTTTACTGCAGATATATATTGGCTTCAGCGATTACAGATATGAACCGCACAAAAACTATAACTCCGCCACCGGCTGATTGTGATAGTTCTGGTGCTATTTGGGATACGGGCAAGACACTTTTTGAGTAATTTTTGAAACCTATACCTCAGTTTATTCGGCATGAAATGTAATCATTAATATTTCTTTAGGTATATAAAGAAACAAGTGTATAAAGATGGACACACAGGTAAAGTGGCTTTCGATAATAACGGTGATCGAATATATGCTGAATATGATATAGTCAATGTCAAAGAAGTGGCAAATAAAGATGCTATTGGGAAATATTATTTCAATAATGTAAATAAATAATAATAATTTACTTAACGAAAATAAAATAGAATCATAATTATAAAAAATCATAAATGATTTTAGGATCTCAATAAGATGAAATTACGACTTAACGAATCCAACATTATATGGCCAGGACATTTGAAGAAGAAACCCGAAGGTTTTATGATTCCTACACATTTAAAAGTGTTAACAATAGAAGAAAAACCATTTGTGTATGTAAGACCATTAAAGAAGGATGATGGAAATAGTTGCAAATCGGATGAAATAATGTGTCCATTGTATAATAATACTTCATCTAAGGGTAAACAATTTTACTTTAAAAAATTTAATAAAAATTGGATGAAAATTTATGTTTGCTTATTTTAGTTCTAGATCCAATAGTTTACTGTTGTAAAGGATATTGTATTGATTTGCTAGTGGGGCTTTCTAAAGACATAAACTTTACATACAGTTTATCACTATCGCCAGATGGACAATTTGGAAATTATGAAATAAGAAATAACTCAGGTCAATACTTTCATAAAATATAAAAACATGCAAGGTTATATTATAAATTATAACTGTGTCTTTATATTTATAATTATATCTTTAGCAAGCGGAAAAAAAGAATGGAATGGTTTGATTGGCGAAATAGTGTATGAAAGAGCAGATATGATATTAGCTCCCTTAACCATTAATCCAGAAAGAGCAGAATTCATAGAGTTCAGTAAACCATTCAAGTACCAAGGAATTACTATTTTGGAGAAAAAGGTAAAATATTTATCTCAGATTTTTGATCCAGATATTGGGTACAATGAAATACATATCAATTTGTAATGTATTTTAAAAACATTCAAAATATTTCAATTCGAAATCTTTATACATTTAAAAAAAAAAAACCTAAACAATTAAAATCTCAATACAGTACCTCAATATC